TGAGGCGAACAATGGAGCCCGCAGGACTTTGTTGCAGGCGCCAGTGTTGCAGCTGTTGCCCTCTCGCCCACCTCACTAATCCTGCCAACTAATATTGCCTACTCTGTCTGGGACCCGGTACTCTGAGGGCCCCGGTACTCTGATGGTCCCGGTACCCTGATGGCCCCGGTACTCTGAGGGCCCCGGTACTCTGAGGGCCCCGGTACTCTGAGGGCCCCGGTACTCTGATGGTCCCGGTACTCTGAGGATACCGGTACTTACCGGTACTATAATTGTCTCGATACTCTGATGGCCCCGTTATTCTGAGAGCTCCGGTACTCTGATGGTCCCGTTACTTTAAATACCGGTACTCTGATGGCCCCGTTATTCTGAGAGCTCCGGTACTCTGATGGCCCGGTACTCTGAGGGCCCCGGTACTCTGATGGCCCGGGTACTCTGAGGGCCCGGTACTCTGATGGCCTCGGTACTCTGATGGCCCCGGTACTCTGATGGCCCCGGTACTCTGATGGCCCCGGTACTCTGAACTGAGGGCCCCGGTACTCTGATGGCCCCGGTACTCTGATGGCCCCGGTACTCTGAGGGCCCCGGTACTCTGAGGGCCCCGGTACTCTGAGGGCCCTGTTGCGTAAAGCAACACATCACGTTGCCAAGTTAGCGGGAACTCAAAATTATGTTATAAGTTTTATTTAGAAAATAATTCCAAGCAGGAAACGAATACAGGTGCATCATTTAATGAAAATACTATGACAAAGACCAAAAATTCCCTGAATGATAATTCAATACAAATGGGATGATTGGATGATTCAATACACGTGGATACAGCTGATGATTGCAGTGCTGGTGGTTGATGCGTCAGTATCTTCATTCAACGGTCGCTATAAGCGTCCATAGTCACGATGGTCCACAATTATTTAATAAATGATTGAACTTGCAAGAAAATTCCGGCGGAAGGTAGAGCCAGTAACAGCACCATAGTCGAATAGACGCATCCAACCATGTTCGACCATAATATATAGTACTCAGACAACCATGATCTTGGCAAATAAATAAGTGACAGACTGCTGCGTCGGATGAGGATCTTGGAGTCTTGTTTCGACAGACCAGCACACGGTAACTACGGGCAGCCACGCCCGCTAATGAAGGTGGCTCAAGCGAGAGTGAGTTGATAAGCTAAAGTTCATCTTCTGCTTTCGAGTTCTGCGTTGGAAAAAAAGAAAATGTGCGACTGACCGTTGGCAGACAGTCGGGCCGCTACAGCCCCATACCCTCAGCCACATTATGCACGCTCCTCTCCGACGCTGCACGCGCGGTGCAGTTTAGCCAATAATGGACATTAGCATAGCGTGCCAGTGTCCATTGCCCATTGCCATTGATGCAATAATAGACATTAGCATAGCGTGCCAGTGTCCATTGCCCATTGCCATTGATGCAATAATAGACATTAGCATAGCGTGCCAGTGTCCATTGCCCATTGCCATTGATGCAATAATGGACATTAGCATAGCGTGGCGAGTGTCCATTGATAATACAGTTTGATCAATGGATGGAAATTAGATCAGAATGTCCAGAATGCAAATGATGGTTCGGGGCGCGTGTGCTGCACAATACTGCACCTGATGTGAGGGCAAAATATTGTGCCTGATTGTGTAAACGAATCGCTTCGTTTTTTGTTGGATTTATTCCATCACCACAAAACTTATATTATTTCATATAGGAAAATATTTAATGTTATTAAAATTTTACAGATTTAGTCATCATGCGAGGTGTTTTTTCATTTACCTGATGCCTGGAGAACTGCACAGCACTGCAAATAACATGTTAATGGACCTTGCTAACGAAAATATTTACACTCGATCCGAAATCAGAATAAAAATATCTGTCACGTCATACATTTTGTATTATAGCAATCGCTCATACACACATAATATGCTCTTGAATTTATTCATTTTGAATTTCTAGAGGCCTCAAACTTCGCTGTTTTCCTGTACTTTTCGTTCCACTAAACCGGCGAATTTTACACTAACGTACACCTGATCAATTTACCCTGAGTGGATCTCTGATACAAAACAGGAATTCTGGAACATTGGCTTGGCAGACATTCCACTTTATGCCCTTTTTGTCCCATAAAGCTGAACAAAATTGTCAAAATAGTAAGCATAAAAGATTAAGTTCTTACTTTCTACATAAGATGACGAGTCTAGAGACTGAGAGTCTCTACACAAAAAATTGGGTTTACAATTATAATTGTTTGAAAAATAAATAATGATTATATCAATTAGGGAACAATATTATTGTAAAATATTTAGCTAAAGAGCCTCACTGACCAAAATCTCTCAATATAATTGATTAAAGCTTATAACTAAAAGTTCATATTGTTTCTAATTTCAGATTATTAGTCCCTCATGTAAAACTGAATATTTGTCGATAAAGAAAACTAAAGTTTGTATGGAAAACTAAAATAAAACTTAGCGTGGATGGAATTTTTCGGATTTGAACAATTCACAATTGATGCTCGTGTCTTCAATATGCAATAAAAGTAGCATCATAGCCGTAACTATGAATAATTTGGCAAGCATAAATTTTATTTCTAATTATCAGTCATTATATATTATTTACTGCTATATAAATTTATAAAATTTTGAAATTACATAGTGACAAGACAGGTCTCGGTAGTCAGTAACTACCACTAATACTACTAGTTGGCTGCTACTGATTGAATACTATTTTTTTTATTTCGCCTTCGTTCGCAAGTTATACGGCTATGCAGAAAAGCGATTGGCATCTATCTGGCCGATTGTTAAGTTTACAGCGAGCATATAACATCTCCCAAATTAATATTCATGGCTCGATGAAACTTTGCACATGTATATACATATTTGGCTATAACAGTGATGTTGAGGTTGCGATAATTTTTCGATTTCGCCTTCTTTTCTTTATTTGCGCTAGTTAAAAATGACAAATATCGTTCAAGATAAATGACACATTAAGTGATCCGATTCAGTCTAAAAATTTCCTCAAGTGATCGGTCCACTTTAGAGACAAATATCCAAATGACGATGTTTGACGAATAAGATGGAAATACGGTTAATTAAGCAAGATTAGCCCAAATGTAAAGGTTTAAAGTATCAGTATTGGCATGCAATTAGTAATGCAATTGAATGAAACTGACAGGGCTAATATTACCGAAGTGTGAACATGCGGCAGAAGAAAATTATAATTTAATGTAAAACCGCAGCAAAACACACAAAGGCGGTAACATCGGCTGTTGTCTTACCGTCAACTTTCTTTCTAAATTTAAAGACCAAGCAAATACCTTGCACTAGCGATGCAGGCCGTGCACTAGCGATGCAGGCCGTGCACTAGCGATGCAGGCCGTGCACTAGCGATGCAGGCCGTGCACTAGCGATGCAGGCCGTGCACAAGCGATGTAGGCCGTGCACTAGCGATGCAGATCGGCCGTGTACTAGCGGTGCAGGCCGTACACTAGCGATGCAGGCCGTGCACAAGCGGTGTAGGCCGTGCACTAGCGATGCAGATCGGCCGTGTACTAGCGGTGCAGGCCGTGCACTAGCGATGCAGGCCGTGCACAAGCGATGTAGGCCGTGCACTAGCGATGCAGATCGGCCGTGTACTAGCGATGCAGGCCGTGCACAAGCGATGTAGGCCGCGGACTAGCGATGCAGATCGGCCGTGCACTAGCGATGCAGGCCGTGCACAAGCGGTGGAGACCATGCACCAGCGATGGTGCAGGCCGTGCACTAGCGATGGTTCAGGCCGTGCACTAGCCTCCTCTTTGATAGGAAAGGTCCAAGAGTTAACATTATTTTCCTTTGATTAAAATCAAAATATATGATAAGAGCATTTCGAATTTAAATTTAATTTGCATTCAAATTCAGAAGCTGCATGCACACTACAGCCAAAAGTAGGTAGCAGTATTTATAAGTACACTGATGAAGTTACGTTGAAGTCTGTAATGCCTCAACAAATCTGCCACTGGAACCTCAAATATGTATATTATTTTAGGCTCACTCACTGCATTTCATATCGAAACTTACTCACGTCATTTCAATGATTTGGAGCACTCATAATCAATGATTTTATATTGCTCTCTTTCATAGCATTTATATGGAAAATGTACTAAGAGTATTAATACTGTTTGGGAAAAGAGGCTTGAAAACGTACAAAAAATATTGTTAAAACACGCGTAATGTCTAACAAACGTCCTTGATTTACAAGGCTTGATTCTAGTTCCGCTATAGCGGTGCGGCAGTTCCTTGTTCACAAATGAAATATCAAGGTAAAAATATGAACAATATAATGTTGATACTTATTGTGCAATATGAATACAAATAACGGAATACAGTAGATATTTCAAAAATGTTTTACTCCACGATACGCGACCTAAATAAGCTTTATCGGATTATTCTGACAAATTAATTGAAAAGTTTTGCAGAATTCCATTGAATAATGTGTAAACAGCCAATTAATGTCCATAAAATAAAAGGCCACAGAATACATGATCTTAATTCGATTTAATATCTCAAAGCTTGCAATGTCTGGGATATGACGTCACAAATGAGAACGTCTTCCTGTGTATAAGTGTCAGAATACTGATAAGCAGGTGGCCTCAAAGCATATTCAATGCTTTATATAGGATCAGGAATTTTCAATACAACTTCAATGAATAAATACGTACAATATTACATTTTGAATATCATGCAGAAGCTTTAGTTACTTCTATTAAAATTAAATTTTTTTTTCATCATCTGATGGCTTTTTAGATGCCGTCTATTAGTCAAACAATTACATCAAAATAACTTTAGCTCGAAAATTTCAAACACCTGAGTGATAGAATGTGCATACAGCCATAGGGCTATAATTTATTGTGGAAAAACATATGAAACAGACGGTGCAAATAATCATTATACATTTGCGCTCCCAGCTGATCGATGCTCATTTCTCACAAACTACTTAGGTTGTGTCATTTATACATGTGATAAAGTAGTTTCACAGTCCATGAAATTGGTCCAGGAGTGATTTGTAATTGTAGTGAACGTGTGGGTTGCGGAACTCGTTCTCTCTCTTATAATAACAGTTTCTATTGCGTTTGTATTGTGTTGCGGTCGCTAGTTGGTTATATATAAATAAATATCCAGAATGGATGTCGATCCAATTTTAGAAGATAGTCGGAGTCTAGAATCTTTAGAGGTAAGGGAAATTCGTCCTGTCTGTCAACTTGCAAAGTGAACCTGTTTTGAACACGGAAGCCAAATTATTGACGCTTCATATTCTCATCTAGACTTGTTAATTGATAGGTTGGTAGCTTTCACATTTGAATTTAGAAATTTTTTATTCTGTAATCCTATACTGACTTCTGTTGGTAATTTTCTACTAAATGATGATTCTTGAATATTTTTTAAAGCTTCTAGCTATAGCTATTAGCTACCTATTTTAACTGTCACTTGAATTTTTCTGCTTAGCCATTAAATAGTGCTGGAATTGCCTGCAGATTTAGTTAGGTAATTAAAATATCTCAATTAGCTACCTATAAAAATCATTTAGGTACAGCAATTTTGAAATATATTAATATAGACAAGACAATGAGTCTTAGGTATTTACAGGATTTAAATTTCCTTACTGGTTTCTGAAATCTTGTAACTTGTGAGTCCAATCAGTCCATGGAGTCCATGGTGCAATTCTAGGATTGGTGCCACACATACCTAGTGGCAAAGCAGAATTTTTTTTAGCCTCTATCTAAAGTTCATTTTTGAGCATGGTGGCAATCCATAGGTTATTCAAAAGAACCTGTTCTTATGTCATTTTGAACCAATCAACGCTTCTTTACGGACCGATCGTAAAACACCTTCACCGGCAAAAGCTTTTGCACTTCTGAAGAAAGTCAGCTGACAGCTACACTGGCCGTGGGGCGTGGTGGACCGAATTTGAATTTGAATGAATCC